CGTAAGATTTGTTAAATAAAAGGGAACTCTTTAGCTACAATGTATCAATGTTATGTTATAAAACAAATGGTAAACACCACAGCGTACACTATTGAGTTATGGATGCACTTGGGAGGTTTGCTAAGCACTCAAGAAGCTAGAGTCGCTCTCGGCTATCGCCTCGAGCGACTCTTACGCTTCTTTCGTGCTTAGCAACCTCCCGCGTGCATCCATAACTCAATAGTGTACGCTGTGGTGTTTACCATTTGTTAAATATCCTACGAGTATGGTGGCCGAGAACTGCTAACAAAAATTCTCATATTTTTTGTGTAATAAAACTTAGTTTCACTGAGAAATGAATCAAAAATAATATAAAGCACGAAGTAAAATGAAATGAAATTTAAAAGTAAAATGCATGAAATTTAAAAGTACCCTTAAACTAAAGGTAAAACCACTTTACTTTTAAGTTAAAGTAAAATGGAAATACAGTTGAAACTCAGGGCTGGGAGTACTGCAAGTTACGCTGGTAGTAGCAGCGCTCGCCCATGCGAAAATTGATTTCACTTTGTGATTGAAAGCGAATGTAAATTTTGGTATGGCCGAGAGCTGCCACTAATATTGTTTTTCATTCTTCTTTAAAGACGTATTTCATTTCAGTTTACCTACATTTCATACTTTTAATTCACTTTCACTTGCACTTTGAATTTGATTTAAAATTGATTTTATATTTCAATTTCAACTGTATTTCCATTTTACTTTAACTTAGAAGTAAAGTGGTTTTAGCTTTAGTTTAAGTGTACTTTTCAATTTCATGTAATTTTACTTTTAAATTTCATTTTACTTCGTGTTTTATATTAGTTTTGATTTATTTCTCAGTGAAACTAACATTTCTTACACAAAAATATGAGAATTTTTGTAAGCAGTTCTCGGCCACCATACATGAGTCTCTTTTAGTTGCAGCGAAATAACGTTCAACTTACTGAACAACAGAAAATAATATGAAAAAGTGAAATTAATTTTGAGCTTCGAAACGAGTCATAACACACAAGCCAAAGGATGTGTTTTAAGTACCATGCCTAGAGGAAACTCAAAACTGGCACCCAGAAGATTCTTAGAAGACTGGGACCCTATTGTTTGTGAATGTTTTACTTCGCAAAAATCTCTAGGACGAGTTAAGGTTACCGTGCACCTTCAGGGGTGTCTCGCGTGCAAGCGATGTAGCACGTCCGGTTTGAACTGTAGATATCTAAATCTCGTATCAAATTCAAGCTTATAGGACTGGCTATCAGACTAAACCAAAAATTTTGAAAAAAAATTAATTGTCGAATTTTTCACGACTTCTAAATGCGAGCGCCCGAATCACCTCTTGAACGTTACATGTTAAAGCAAATTTTGTTTTTCGCTTGTTGAATGCGCTCCTCCGTTTCCGGGACCAAAGCGCTAAGAAAACGTGTCTGCGATTTGCCATATTCAATTTCGGTGAAAAGTTACAGAACATTTTTGAAATAGGATTAAAAAATGCGGAGTGATCGTACAAAAATCGCTCTTGAAAAAAAGTATTTAGAAATAAAAAATTCGGAGACACGTTTTTATTGTTTATATATAAAGCTAGCTACCTCAAAGTTTGAGAGCAATCCAACAAATTCCCTTTGACTTGTAGCTCTTAAATGAGAAAAAGGAATGATCGCTTCTAAAAAGCATCGATATTCTTCTCAGTTGATCACTACATCCATAGTTAATCGATTAACTATGCTACATCTAGCTAGTAGTTTAGATTTATCTATCCTTTGTTTCTTTCCTGGTAACGTAGTTTCGCTTCGTTCTATTTCAATAATTATTTTTCTTTGCATCTTGTGAGAGTACGTAAGATGCCGCGATTACCGCTAAGAATGATCGATTGCCTCCGACTCGATAGTAAAGAGTGCCTGCCTTGTGAACAACATAATTGGTTATTTCAACTAAGTTGAAATTGTAAACTGGCCACCGTAACGAGTTAAAAAGCTAAAGTTTCGAGCGTTAGCCCTTCGTCTTTCGCTCTGACGAAGGGCTAACGCTCGAAACGTTAGCTTTTTAACTCGTTACGGTGGGAAATTTACAATTTCAACTTAGTTGATATATATAACAAATTACCTTGTTACCCCCACCGACGCAGCACCACAGTTTCTTTAGAAACTTTCACCCTTTATTCACTTGTGAACAACAGTTTGTTAAGTATATAAGCGACCTAAGAAGAGCATACTTTCTTTCAATCTATCTTTCCTTTAGTTTTACCGACACCCTAGCTTCGCAGAGGACCCACCATCGGTGAAAAGTGAAGAAGTTGTTTAATTTTTGCCATTTGCTCTATGTTCTTAATTAATGTACATGGTATGAAAGCCTCTCTTCGTTTTAATAACGATCAGGGACAATTTGAGGCATCAGACTTTTATTTGAAAAAAAAAGTTTTTCTGAACATGACAAGTAAATCCGTCAAGATTTTAATTAAAAAGACTATGATTATCATGTTAATTCAGTCTAAAATCTCAAATGAAAACAGTCACCCGCTTTTGTATAATTATCATTATGCCTGGTTATCAAGAAAATATAAATTTATAATCCCTTACTGTTTATACATTCGACAGAAAATCTCCAATTGCTTTCCATTTTTTTTGTTGAGGTAAACTCGAAGGTGTCGGAGCGATTTTGGCTGTAAACAGACGTGCTGTTTACAAATTTGCATGTGTTTGGGCCCCTTGAAAGGAGAACCGTGAATGCGTTGCCATAACTAATAATTAAAAGATACAAAACGTCATAACATGTTAGGTGAAAGATGCCCTGGGGATCCTCTGGTCAGAGGACAATAGGAACCTGACTCATCTGTTGAATAAAATCGAAAGGAAGTCCTTTCATTGCAAAAGTGTTAATCTCTAGCCTTCTTCTGCTCGCTCAAGGAGTTAACCACTAAAAGGTAAGAGGATAGATATAGTTTCTTTAAGTCTGTCCTAGTTTAAATGGGTTATTATGTTTGTTAGGCGATGATCAAACTTGCATGGTTTGATCTTGACAAGAAATCCTGCGAAGAGCGTGTATTGATTGACTTGTTTGGTTCAATTCGTTCATTTCATTCAAGAATTTCGGCTAGTCTCAGCTAAAAAAAACACTGGAATCTGTTCTCGTATTCTGCACAGAAAATTATCCTGAAGAGATCTGCAAATCGCATGATTTACACTTGCATGCTAAGGATTTTAATTTGAAAATTGCCAAAGATTTCACAACTAAACATTTGGTTTTCATGAGATCCATCAATGTAAGAGCAGACAATTTTTTTGTTGTTATTATTTTTATTTGTGCAAATTGCGAAAAGAAAAGCAGGAGACATGTACTCATTTTCGGTTCGAAATCGCAATTTATCCTACGTAATTTTGGTTTACTCAAGAAATATGGAAATAATTCGTGACGAAACGAATACTACTCAAACTGTCCATCTTTAAAACTAAGACTAATCGAGACAATTGCACTGATCCATTTTCTTATCAAGGGTTAAAACAAATACTGCGAATAAAAGAGGAAAAGAAGATTTGGGATGGCTTATCAGTGGCTGTAATAGCCCTATTCCGAATTACCTTTGGCCTCATTTTCATAACGAGTCCTTGCGCCCATCCTTTCATATGATATAATTTGGATATATCAACAAAGTGAATTTGGTGGGAACGTATTGGTGGGAACGTAACTCCATTTTCTGCCTTTAAAAGCTCACACGACCCACAATTCCTCTGTTTGCTCCGACGAAAGGCTAACGCTCGAAACGTCAGCTTTTGTAATCGTTACGGTGGCCAATTTACCATTTCAACTTTATTGATATATCCAAATTATTTCGTTACNNTCACACACACACACACACACACACACACACACACACACACACACACACACACACACACTTCATTTCAGTTTTTGTCCGCAGCTACTTGCCCGATTAAGCTGGTAAGAAAGAGCAAGTCGTGGAATATGTTTTAAGAAATAACTAAGACAGTGTAGACATAAGTAATGATGATTTTACCCCGATTTATGCAACATGTTCACTAATTTCCTTGTATAACATTTTTTATAGGCGAAACGTTGCACTGCCAAACAATTTACGATGCATATTGTTCCGGTGTAAATATTTAACAATTTTTTCGGGCTCATGTTTGAAAAAGGTGTGACGATTGATAACAATAGTTTGTGACTAATTATTGAAATGTCTTGTGTCTTTTTCAAAAATCAACACTTCAGTTTGCGCTGAAAATATTCGATACACAGAGAAGCCATTTTCTGGCTAGAATCGACTCGTCTAAAGACCAGTTTCTTACGCACACCGTTACATTTTCTGCATTGACTTATTTATCTTTGCTCATATATTGGATACATGCGTGCAGAATGTCTGGTTTCGAAAAACATTCCTAAGGGATTGGGCTGAGAACATTCAACTCACAGAGAAGCCATTTTCTGGTGAGGATCGACTTATCTAAAGACCAGTTTCTTACGCACACCGTTGAATTTTCTGCGTTTACTATTGCTCATATATTGGATACATGTGTGCAGAATGTCTGGCTTCGAAAACATTGCTACGAGATTGATTCAAAGTTGGTAAACATCTCTTGAATATTTAATGACTCTGCATAAAAAATATGAGAATTCAGAACTAAGGAAAGAGAGTAAAATAAAGATCAACAGGCATTTTAATTTTTGTTTCTTTTTTTTTGATGCAGCAATGAAATGAATAGCGGTGATTGAATGAAAGCTCTCCCGTGAACCAATTTTTACGGACTTTGACACTTGAATTCGTGCCGGTTTCTACGGCATTTGAATGTGAGAGCTCTTTCTGAGCAGGTGGATTATAAAGTAAACCTAATTGATTTGCAAATTGCTGCGGGCTGAATATTGTCAACATTACACAAAGCAACATCTTTGAAAGCAGGCGCGAAATGCAATTGAAAAATGAATTGAATAACAGG